AGAATTAACGGTCTGGTCAAAGATAACCAGAACCATACAATGGGGGCCCAGAGTGCTGCAGTGGGATCCCAAGGCCGTTAGAATTCATCGAAGCCACGTCACCTAGTCAACGAATCAAAAATCAAAATTACTTTGGAAATTAATAAGCGTCACCATTCTTATTTGGGCAATGATATGGTTGGTACCTCATGAATCACTTCAATTTTGTTTTATCTTTTTGTAAAGAGTATTTTAAAAAAAATTATATTTCATAAATGACCTTTAATTACAAATATTTTTTTGTATTTAATCTTTTATCATAATATATTATATAAATATTCCTTATTTTTTAAAAAATGATTGCATAATCAGTCCTTCGAGGATATATTTAAAAAAATACATTATCATATTTGGCCTAAAAATACATTTGTGATTATTTATAAAATTTACTTTTTAAAAATACATGCACCCGTCATAATATTTAATCCAGTAATTAATTGTATCTTCTTAAATTGTGTGTCCATATGAGAAAATATAGTAAGAACACCAACCTTTGGTGTTACATTATTGTATCATTACATTTTATCCTTTCATCATAATCGATGTTAAGAAATTTGACCACCATTAATAAAGAAATTAACATAGTTAAATATGTACTCTGCATGTGATTAAAATTTCTTTAGAATTAGATAATCAGAACAAGAATCACTTCCCTGGCCTCAAAAGGCTTCGTTTCGTACCCGAAATTCAAATTTTGGAATTTAAATTGGGACAATAATTCTAATTCTGCTGTTTGGTACCACAAAAATATGTGGATTTAGAATTGATGGTACCAAAAATGAATTGAAATTTGAGAATTCAATTCCATCCAAATAAATTCATTAGAATTTCAATTTTTAAATCAATTCCAATTCTGTCAATTTCGTGTACCAAACGGACCCTAAGTGCTTGGTTGATTTCATTCAATATTTGATTGATCTAGAAATCATGAATTTTAACTTCATCACAGTTTAGAGTTTCAAAATTTATAATTAGAACATAAAGTTTAAGTTGCTTATTTACTATTCACAGAGTCTAACTTTAATCACTTTCTTTACTTATCTTACTACGTATTTGATAAAATAATATAATCATGGTACATCTTTTTTAATGAAATTTTTTATGTAAATTTTAAATATATAAACTTTATCTTTTAATCCTACCCCATTTTTAAATAGATTGAATTAAAAATAAATTCATATTTTGTGAAAAAAAGGGGGCAAAAGGTTAGTGTTGGGTCCAACAAGAGGCATAAGTGATGACATGAGCATCAAGATTACTTTGTGGGCTGGGTGGTCCAAATTGTACGTCACCATCTCTTGACCCGCCTCCTTCATTCATTCTTTTGGGCTCACAAAATACAAAAAATTATTTTCTCCCATACTTAATTACTCTTTCCGTCCTAAAGGTAAAAATATAATAATATATTACGCAAAATACAATGAAATTTTATGATTTTTTAAATTTATTTTATTTAAAGATTGGTATACAATACACGCTAAAACGTACATATTTAAAAATTACGTGAAAAGTTTTGCAAAATAAAAAATGAGAAAAATATTTTATTTTATGAAATAATTAGTGAAAATACACAAACAAACCAAAATTTTTGTGATTTTTAAATAGTGAAGTTGGGCATTCTTTTTGGGATGAAAGAACTCGTTTACATATGACTATAACTTTTAGTAATTATATTCTCCTTTTTAGGGTAAATATGGACTTTCTCACATTCTTATAGTCTTTTATGTGAATATTTTCTACTTTGTATTTTGTAAAAGATCCACTTTTTTATGTTATAAATTAAGGTAGAACATAAACCTTAGATCCACGAAAAAATTACACTAAGGGTTCGTTTGGTATACGGAATTGATGGAATTGGAATTGAATTGGAATTGAAATTTCATGGGATTCAATTCCATAGAATTGAATTCTGCTAATTCCAATTCATTTTTGCACTATCAATTCCAAATCTACATAATTTTTGTGCTACCAAACACCAGAATTGGAATTGAAGTCCTCAATTCCAATTACATAGCTTGAATTCCGTGTACCAAACGGGGCCTAATGAAATTCATAAGTACCGGCCCCTTATTCCACGGGGAGATGGCACGGAAAAATTGACCAAACTCATTTTATATAGTAAATCACAATTTTATAACAAATTTTAATATATTAAATAAATTTAATTGGGTACTAAAAAATATTAATTGGTGAGTTAAACATACGGAGTAGTAAATAGTGAGATGTGAGCAATGACTATTTATTGTAGTCTCAATTTTTAGAAAGAATTTTTTGTGTTACTTACTCCCGAACTCTACAAGAATTGCGGGAATTTTTCATTAACTTTAAAGATGGTACTAATAGTCCTTGAACTTCTAAAAACATCGCGTCAATAGTCCATTCTTTTCAGATTTAAAAATGCAGTGCAAGTATAGATTCATCTAAACTCATATATCACACGTGAATTCTGCAATATATTTTTCTAAATATTATCTTCTATATTTTTAACATCTTGAAACACTAGACAATTATTCTCGAACTCAAAGCCCTGGCATAAGTCATCAAACTTTTCTTTAATTGATAAACCACTTCATCAAGATCTTACATATATATTGATAAGCGTGTGGTTAACCAACTGCTAAATCTGGTATAGATAAATGATTGATACAACGTTTTTAAAAGTTCAGGAACAATCGGTGTAATTCTTAAAATTCAAGAGCAATCTACACGTACAATTCTTGAAAAGTTCTAGCATAAATGTCGTAAAAATTAAAACTCTATTTGGAAACTATAATACTTTAAAATTTCTTTTGAACACCAAATTTGTTCACAACCAATGTCCCATTATTTAATTTGAGTCACAAGTAGGTATTCTCCTTTTGTGTTTAGTAATTGAGAGTAAGTTCATCCAATACAGGCCAGGATTAGTTTCAACAAATTCAAACAACTTCCATTTCAATCAAACTCACTCTTTACTTACCCAAAAGGACTCCTAATTTACATTATACTACGTACGCCCACACAGTCTTTTTTTTAAACATGATTTTCGTTTCTTTAAAAAAAGAAGTCCTCCGTGTCATTTTCCATGCATTAAGTACAAAAAAAAGTACACCAACTTTCACCATAAATCCCCCAAAAAAAATTTACTTGTTTTTTTTTTTTTTGCAATTTACAATGTTCTATAGCTTTTTCTTCCAAATGGTTGAATATCCATCCGTATTAAGAGCTTGTTCTCTTCAATTTTTTACCGATTATTACGTATTCTTAATAGAATCGGACCAGACCAGATTGGATTAGAAACAATTTTAATACTTCCTCCGTCTAGAAAAAGTTCTCGCTCTGATTCGGCACAAAGTTTAAGAAAGTGAAAATGTGTGGTTGAAAAATGGTGCAGAAGAGATAGAAATTAAGATTGTGAGCCACTTAAATTTTTTTAAAAAAGAAAAGATGATGCTTTTCTTTAGAATATCTCAAAAAAGAGTCTTTTTAGGACGGATGAAGCATAACTACATCTGATCTCGATCAAACCAGAATAGATAAGATAAAATAGATTAGATCAGAATTTATAAGGCTGTAATAAAATCAGATTATATCCAATGAGATCATATGAAGGAAGCAAGTTCTAAATTAATGTGTTTGACTTTCCCTGTCAAAGTTTAATTTACGAATATTGATTACGAGATGCATAAAATATAAATTTAATTAATAATATCAATATATTCGTTCAAAAGTGAAGTTTTAGGGTGCATTTTGTTAGTTGATAATTTTTCCTCAAACAGTTTCAAATTAATTTCCTATGTTTGGAAACATAAGTTCAATATTTTCTACTTATTTTCCTTATTCATTTAATAAAATAATATAGTCATGTTACATATTGTCTTTCTCCTTCAAGTCAAATTATTTTTTTCTTTACATATTCTCATTAGTCATTTGATTAAAAAATAATGTCAAATTTTATTTTGTTGATCTTTTCATATAATTTTCAAATATATAGATCAGACCTAGTTTGTATCAAATATAATATATTTTGAATTAAAAATTATACTTTCTTCGTCCCACCCCATAATTAAAGTCACACATTTTAAATGGGGTGTCCCAAAAGATACTCCCTCCGTCCCTAAATATTTGCAACATTTGCTTTTTCAGCAGTTGCGGGAACTTTTGTTTATTTCTACGTTTTCATTGGTTATTTGATAAAATAAAATATTCTTGACACCTCTTATTTCGAATAACTTTTCATGTAGTTTTTTGATATGTAAATTTTATTTTTTATTTCTATACCAATATGTAAATAAAATAAATTGAAAAAACTTGATATTTTACCTTAGAAATACAAGTGTGACAAATATTTAGAGAGGGAGGGAGTATGATACTTTTCTATCACTTTTGTATAGTATCTTCTATTCAAACTTACTCATTTCTGTCTTTTTCTATCACATTTACATTTTCCTCCTTCAATCACATCAAATTAATATTTGCCTTATTCATCTTATCCATTTGTATGATGACCTCTCTTTCTGCAAGAGTATTATCGTAGAGTATAAAGTTTTAAATGGGAAAAAAAGCAAGTCAAAGTCAACGCCATAAGAAATAAAGGACGAGTTTAATTTGGGAACATCGTTAAAGATTAGCATTAATGTTTTGAAATAAAATTTTAACGGAATAGATTACTATAAAAACGCTAACATTAAACCCTGCATCTAGATAGGGTCTGTTTGGAGATAGCATTAGCGATTAACGTTAGCATTTAGAAAAGGCTAATCTTTAACGTCATTCCCATACAGCCGAGAGTATTTCCAAAACGCTAATCTCTAACACTATTTCTAAACAGACCAAAAAACAAGATGGAAAAAGTGAAAACAAAAGCGAATTTTCATTAACAAATGCGAGTGAATTACATCCACATTACACTATAGTGTAATACTCATAATTATAAAACTGGAGTAAATAATGATAATAATAATAATAATAATAATCTCATAAGAAATTGGATTAATTTAACGTAGTAGACATTTTCTGAGTTCCTGAACCTAAAAAAATGTCTGGACTGTTTGTCTTGTCCCCTTGAAACAGAAGCATGCATTGCAATGCATGCAAATATTATATTCATTAATTCTATGTAAAGCTGATCAGAGCAACGGAAATATCCGGCGGAAATTCAAGAATGAATGCGAAGACCGGCCGGCGGCGGCGGGGATGATCTATCAGAGCCAGAGAGCTCCGGCGTCTTTAAGGAGAGGGACGAGGGAGCCGTTGATGTGGCAGGCCATGACCGTCTCGATCCCGCCCAAGAACTTCCCGCCGACGAAGACCGCCGGGACGGGCTGCTGCTGGCCGGAGTCGGCGAGGCGGAGGAGGAGGGAGTAGATTTCCCGGCCGTCGGCGTCCCTGTCGAGCTCCACAATCGTGGGGCCCACCCCGAGGCCGAAGAGGAGCTGCTTCACCACGTGGCACATGCAGCAGCCGCTCAGCGTGAAGATCACCACGGCGTTCCCGGCCGCCAGCTGCCGGACCCGCTCGTACGTCGCCTCCATTGATCTCATCCCCTGCCGCGCCGCCCCTTTCCGGCCGCCCCCGATGCTCGTCGCCGATTCGTTAACAACCTGCATTATTATATTATTTTTTTTTTTGCAAGCTTATAATAATAATAATTCAGTAGCCTAGAAAAACCCCAAACTTTAATATTTTCCTTTCTTTGTTTTGCAAAGGTGGAATGGAAGAAAGAAGGAGAGGAGAGGGGGGATTTAAAGGGGGAGATGGAAAGGGGGGTGGGGTACCAACTAGGTGAAGAGTAGATAATAATGTACCTGCTGGGAGTTCTGACTGGTAGGATCCCCCCCTCTTTTACCCACAGGAAGCAGGTGTTGTAAGCAAACTTTATTTCTTTTATTTTTTACATGCTTTTTTTTTTGAAGGGAGGGGATTGATTGGGGGAGAGTAATTGCTTTTCATTGTTTTCAACGTGCAATATACAAGAAATTCAATAATTAGTCTACAGGAGGGGTTTTTCATACTCTCTCCGTACCGAAAAACATGAGAGTTTTGATTTTGAGGGAGGATTTAAGGGAATGTATTTTGGTATTGAATTTTCAAAAATGTTCTTTGATATGATGAGTAAAAATATGATTTGATGGATAGATTATTAGTAAAAAGGTATGATGTGATAGGTAGGGTAAGAAAAAGTAAGGGGTAAAAGTAACTTTTTAATAGAAATGAGAAGTGTTTTTTTGGGACGGATGAAAAAAGAAAGGAGAAAGGTTTTCTGGGACGGGGGGAGTATTAGAATTTCTATTACTCGTATCAAATATTATACCATGGTTCTTTTTTCTTTCATGTGTTTCTTTTCAAGGAGGATTTTTTTCTGTCATATTCATTTTAATTGAAGCTTTAAAAATGTCATAATGATTATATATCTTTTTTTGTCATACTCAACACCTAATGTCACTTCTAATGTGTCATTAGTCACTACTACAAAAAGTGCCAAATTGACTACTCCATTTGCATCGGTTTTAGAGAAAACCAATGCAATTAGGGTAATTAATTTTGCCAACCGGTAGCAATTGAATCAATTAGCCAGGGGCAATGGTTCAACATCCGAGCATTATGGAGGAAAGGTGGCAACACTCAAAGACTCCGATCAGTTGCCCTCCTTGCATCGGTCAGTGGCAAGCATAAAGAAAAGACTTCGTGCCGTATAGTAGGCCACACTCTTCCACCTCCTGATCCCGATGACAATGATGAAGATGAAGTACTCTTTGTGCATGAGTCTAAGAAGCTGGATGGCTAACAAGTTCACCCCTAAAGTGTATGCATTAGCATTACCCTCAAGTACTTTTATGAACTCCCCGATGCACTAATGTAGACTAAATCGTACAAAATTTGATAGCTTTGTGTCAAACTCATCGTATGACTGAACAACAACGTAACCTCAACAAATTCATCAATTTTTTTTTTTTGTATTTTCTCTCTCTTTGTGTTGCTTCAGTAGCCCTAAGTAACCCAAGTCAAGAACATTTAGGTCACGACTGTTTGGTGGTTGATTAGTTAACTCAATGTCAAACCCATTACTTTTTGCTACTGCTAGAGAATTTGGATTAGTCCCAGGAATTTGAGGCCTTGCATTGTCTTGATGAATGAATATTCACTTAAAAACATCTCTAAGCCACTTTGCCTTAACTGCACGGATCACTTTGGTAATTAAAAATTCCTTATACCCTTTGGTAATTATACACGAAATAATTTTTATAGTTTATGGCACCTTTTATGATCACAAATTAAATAAAAGTTTATATTTCAAAACTCTATTTTAAAATAAATATAATTCTACTAAATTTACATTATAACTAAATATAATTTTTCTATAATTCACGGTTAAAGGGTTTCAAAGTTTGACAAAAAAATCAAATTGTGACAATCTATTAGAGACGAATGAAGTATACCTTATATGTAGCTTTTAAAATTATACACGGGGGTATTTTTAGGGGCCGGTTCCCATGACATTGGGAATCAATGTCATGGGATGACCCGAGGGTGCTCTGGTGCCCCGTTCGTAAAATTAACGGTTTATACCCCCTAACCCCCCCATCTCGCCCCAAACTGAACAAACACCCACACCCCCCAAACTATGTGCCCAAGGGCATTCAGGTACTCGCAGGTGTTTGGAGTTGGCCTTGGGCCTGAGCTGACCCGGACCGAAGAGTCGCGGGGAGTCCGTCTGCTGCAAAGGAGGACGCGGCTAGGTTGCAGGAAGAGAGTCGGAAAAATAGGATCGCGCAAATCACAGGAATTAGCTTCCATAATCAATAGTTACATTAATTATGTAAAGGGATATGTATGAATAGAGAGGATCCGAACGTAGAATCTCAAGCAAAACCTAGCGTGTAATTTCATAATTCTCGAGTTCTCGTTTCTAAATTGTTTTTATGATTTGCCCGTCAAGTCAAATTATTTAGTGGAATTCTTGTCCATCAACTTCAAAGTCAAAATTAACTTGAGGGGTGAAATTGAAGGGGGTGTGTTTGGTTCGGGACGGGGTAAGGGAATTTACTGGGGACTAGAGAAAGTAGGAATCGTCAGTTTTACAAACAGGGTACCGGAACACTCTCGGGTCATTCCATGACATTGATTCCCAATATCATGAGAACCAAAGAATATTTTTTATCTTCTAATTCTACACATATAATATAATAATAATAATATAAATTAGAGAAAAAAAGTTTCATAAATTGAAATGGGTCGAAAGATAGGAGGATGGATGTAACGCTAGGATTTGTCTCATTTTGACATTTTGAATTCAAATGGGAAGTAATGAAGTAGTCGGTAATATGCAAGGGGCAAGGGAGACGGTGAAGTTAGTTGTGGGTTTGGGGGGAGGGTACGGTAAATGGCAGTAAAACTAGTTCCCGGGAGTAATATAACAACAGTAAGTACTAAGTAGAAGGGGGGGGAGTAAGTATAACGTAACCAAAGACGGGTACAAGTGGGTAACTTGCCGTTTTAACTTTTTTGGCGGGCCTGAAGATAAATGCTACAGTAGACAGTAACAGTGCATCCCGCTAATTCTGACGGCTGGGATCTCCCCTCTTTTGCCCACACTACTACTCCTACTACTCTACCAGCTCAGTCATAGGTAAGTACCATTTCTTTTTCAAATGTCCTTTATGCTCACTTTATTAATTCCACCCCTTTCTTGCATTTTCCTTCTTTACTCTTCTTTTGCATGTGATAATAATAATAATAATAATAATAATAATAATAATAAGAACAATAACAATAACAATAGTCTTTCTGTATTAAAAAAGATTCCTCATTAGATTTGACACAACTACACAAGATCAATCTAATATAATTATTAGGGATGAGCAACTACTAAATTTATCTCGAGTTTTCTCGAACTTCCAATGTTCTAACAAGATTTTACCCAACCCAACAATCGGTATAATATTTGGGACGGCGCGAGATAATGGGGTGAATTCCGTGTTTGTGTAAAAACCGTGCATGTCATTCCTTTATATGCAATTCAAAAATACATTTTCCCCCAAAATACCAACCGGATTTGCCTAATCCGTTTTGATGCATAGTATTTAACTAAACGGATTAGGCTAATCCGTTCCACTCATTTAATTACCCAACGGATTAGCCTAATCCGTTTCAATATTTATTTATTTTTTGTAATTTTCTTTAAAAACGGATTTGTTGCTTTGTTTCAATTATTTTTTCCCTTTTAAATTTTTTAGTTATTTTAACTCCTCTTTTATAAACCTTTTTAACAAATTAAATCCACTTTTGTAAACTTTTTTTAAATTTTTCTAACTTTATTTTATTAAACAAAATACTATTTATTGACTTTAAGTGGTATTTATATAACGAGATTAAAAGAACAAGACAAAACACAATAAGTTTATTGCTAGAGTACATATAACAATTTATTCATAAAAAGAAGAAGCCAAAACACAATCCATGAGTAACTTATTTGTAAAATTTCATAATACATAAACTCAGACATAATTGAAATTCATGATAAAGCTATTCCTCGTTGTGATGTCTCCGTGGTCGATAGTCCATGTTATTCGGATAACGAGTTCTCGTACGTCAGCCGGTTCGTGTGGTTTGTCGTGGCGTTGGCCTCAGGATCTCGTACTCTGGAGTAGGCCATTGAGACTCATCTGGTAGCGGCATTATGATGCCAGAGTAAGCATTGATGTAGGACTGAATTGAAAAAACATTTGGAATCAAATGATCCACGGTGACACTACAAAAATGACATACTGCGTGGACATGATTGCACGGGAGATGAAATGTTACCCATTGGCCACAACTACATGTTCGTGCATTTAAGTTCACCGTAAATGTCTCCCGTTGAGCAATGTAGGACGACACATCCACCACCACAGAGTATATCCCTTGTGCGTGGTGCTGCACAATACGACAATACAACCGATTTTCTTCATTTTTCCTAATATGTTTCCACACATTCATAGGAAAATTGTACCCGGATTGCTGCCATACATACCCATTGGTTCGCCTCTCAGCGAAAAGTTTGACCAGCTTATCATAGGTGGACTTCACAATGGCATATACTGGCAAACAACGACATCCTTTAAAGACATGATTGAAACTTTCTGAGGAATTTGTAGTCATTATACCATAACGTGCCCCACCTTACAAAGCCCACTTGTGTTTTGGAATGGCATTAAGCAAGTTGTAGGCTTCTTGATTTTTGGATGTTATTCGGAGGAGCAACTGGTCAAACTCACTTCTGCTCGGGGACTCACCAGCTTTGTACATTAAGGTCCGCAGCTTTTTACTTCGAAACTTCTGCCAGAAATTGCTGCGTAGGTGGCGGAGACAATATCTTCGAGTCACTTGACCTCCACCTAACTTTGGGACATTTTCAAATGTATGGTCAATCCCACCGTGTCTATCAGATATTATACATACACGGCGATGTGGGGGTGTATTTTCAAATGCATGGTCAATTTTCACTAAAGAAGTAATCAGAGCCCAATCTAACTGTAATCCACCCACTTTCTCCACCCCATAAAATCCATAATCTTGTAAGATCTCTATAACACGAGGTGGTCTATTAGCAACAAGAGTCCTCGGATATATACTAGAACAAGTCCTATGACACTTTAGACTCTTTTTGGCATACTCCTCGTCCGCCCATACCGCATCACACCTATGTACTCCGCCTTCAAGAACTAAAATGTCTCGTGAAATAGGTCCCGGATGAACATCCATTTGCTTCAAAGATTACAACATAACAATTTATTCA